ATAACAGTTCCAAACTTTCATGTAAGGTGAAACAGTGAAACAACTTATTTTCTACAGCATGTGTTTTTTTTATATGTCTTATTAGACATTTTGAAGAAGCAGCTTAAGGGGTCACTGCTACAGTTGTTAAATGTAGACTTTTTCTTGCCAGTCTGCCCACAAATATAAGTTTGGCTTTTAAAGGAAGGTTGTTTGTTCAACTGTAGTACAGGAGAACAAATATTTAATGACACAGCATCTTTAAACATTTCTTTACAACTGAAACACTGCATTTAAAAATCATTTAAATTCTATGTTAAGGTAAATCCAGGCATTAAAATGTTATTTTGACAATAAAATAAAAATGTGTACTTAATTGTGCTACTGCTTTACTTAATATAAGAGTGGTGATAAGTACGAGTCAGAGCATCAAACTGATTTCACTGGTAATAACAGCTTCAGCACTCACAGTATTTTCTTACACTTAACTAATGAATAGAGTGACCTTTCAGAGAAGTGTCTCCTACTCACTTCTGACTTTTAACAGCAGCAGTGTTACCATTAGAGATCCAAAATGAAATGAAAAGTCTGCGTAGTTTGAGGTTGCAACACTTAATCATGCAGGCTGGATTCAATCATTGCAGTATATAAAGAGCAGTGGTCACCACAAGCGTCAGAGAACAAACCACCCATAAAACTAGTTTGTTTAGTCTACGAGACACTCTGGAAGCTGGCTGAATCATCTTTAGGTTCTTTATATTCGCACTAGCAGTGATGACATTTGGCTGCCCGAGCTGTGAAAGCAACATCAGAAACTTTGATCTACTTCCAAGCCTTTCTCAACATTATTTCCTACGATCCATGAGTGATAATATAAGCTCAATAATTACTGCATTTAGGCACTAATTCACTGCAGGTCAGACACACAGTACAACATGCATTATTAGTACGCCACTCAGTTAGATTGCTTTCACGTACTGGCTACTTATCTTTGGCTTCGGAGCCAACAGTAACTGAAGTTTCAGGGCTTCATGAGAAGAACCACAGCTAAAGAAATGAAAACATGCACCATTCAGCACATGTAATACATATTCATTTTCTTATACTTTCTCATAGCAGCTTCAAACCACTTCCCGTCTGAAGAACTGAACAAAAATTGAGTCGCTAATAGTCTAACGTACAAGAAACTGTTGAAGGGTCATTATTCTTGCAGCCTGCCTCATATTTTCAAGGTCTGATTTCCTCAAATGGTACTTTGCTGCCAAACAAGAGGATATATTAGCTACTTAACCTCGCTAAAACACAAACTCATTAAACATGTCTGCCTTCAGCCTTTTTAAGATTCTTCATTGGTGCTTATTTATGAGCTTGCAAGACAACTTTGAAGTCCCTGATTTGGATTTTCAGGGGCTATAAGATGCTACATTTCTAATAATGCTTACATTCATGAGGCTTAATCATTCTGTGGCAGCAGTGTGCAATTCCTTGCTTCTGATCCTGAAAAAATGTGGCCTAAAAATGATTTAGTGAAACCCACATTGTGTGGAAAAGAAGAACTCCTTCAGTTGTTTTACTTAAGTTAAACCACTATTGAGCTGTTTGGGTTTTTTATAGTCATAGTCATAGTCATATTCATTAACTCTTCACAATTGTGGTATGGAGTACAAACAAGACAAAATACAAAATAAATGATGAACAATCCATTCATACACTGTATGGATCTTAATCCCACATGTGCAGTTCTTTAGACAGTAAACTAATGGCACTCCAAAACCCTTATTTGTGACCTCTGCACTTCATGTTACTTTAGGCATTTGTCACAAAGTGTCACCTACAATCTGACCAGAATTGGACTGAAACTTTGTCTCTCAGTTCCTATTTTTATTCTTCTTTGTGCATTAACATCTTCTGCAAGCCTGTTGCAGGTGAGCCTTCACCTGTGCAGTTGGTAGAAATTATGGATTTAAACATTGGTGTCTTCCAAAAACGCTATCTCATTCAGGGCAGACAGTAGACAACTATGAGATCACAAAAATACCATTGAAGATGACACCCGCTGCTGGATAAAAACAGCACACACCATATGAGATGATCAGAGTAAAGTCAAGGTCTGTAACATATCATGATATGGCAAATGTATGCAAAAAGCACATATAATGTGATCAATCACATGAGACCAAACACAAATACGTGTAAAACAAATTCTTCATTTGCTCATTTTTTAAAATACAGCTTGCCAAGAACAACTTCCATCACCACAGCTTCATATCATCACAAAAAAACTCAAGAAGTTATTGACAACTGAATCAGCGCCCAGGGCTGAGGATGCAAACAGAGCTAGACTATTTATATGGATGCAAATATCTAAGTCAATATTAGTGACACAGCTATTTGCATACTAAGGAAAACAAAAGCTTTAACGACAAAATGCATCATCATTTTTTTTTCAACAGGAAAAAAAAGTCAGGAAATTTTATGACTTTTAGATAACAGAACCACACCTAAGCAGCACATCTGAGGGTCATCAAATCATATATCTAATATCCAAGTTTGCCCCCACTTATAGGCGGATATGGAAGAAGCATTTAGATTATTTACTTAAGTAAAAGCACTAAAATCATACAGTGAAAATACCACATGGTCAGTGGCAGTAAAATGTTACCAGTGTCAGTATTTTGCCATTATATATATATATATATATATATATGATGTTTTTGGATTAATATTACTGCCCCATTAATGTGTGTGCTGCATGTTACTGCTGTGCTAATTTAAACACATTTAACTTTGATTACACCACTGCTCTTAGGTCATAACAAGGGCGACACATATGGTAAAAGAGCGTCTTATGGTGTAGTTATCGTCGAGTTTGTTGTCGCTTTACCTGAAACAGCTTCTGTTTCTGCGGCACTTTGTTGTCAACCTGCCGGCGGACGGAGCTGGAAATGGTCCGCCGCGCCACCTGCTGGAACGCCTGGAAACCGCAAGAAACCCCAAAAATCAGCACACACAGGAGGACACGGGCTATACATATTGAACCAGGTGTTAACAAGTTTAATTCTAGATATAATTTACATACAATTCTAATCAGCTGAAGGCCAGAAGATGCCCGTACAGCTGACGCGGAAGCTAAGCTAATGCTAACTCTTCCGGCGGCACCTTAACGGCAACGATATCTGACTTTGACCCCTAGCTAGCAGTTTGTAGCTACATCTAGCCGCGCTCTGCCTTTCGTCACTTGCTTTCAATTTGTGTATCCGCCTTATTAGTTGAATAACATGTCTACATAATAAACGAAAACTTGAAACCGAAAACACTTACAAATATGTGTCTGTTCATCTCTTCAATCCGTCAGTCACACAAGGACACCAGAAAACTCTACTTCCGCTTTCAGCTTCTTTTCCTTCTACACTAACATTGACGGCAGAACGTATGTATGGTGCGCGCTCTGCTGCCCCCACAGTCTGTACTACGAACTACACCCTCTATTACATTTTCTCCAAGATGTCTGGATTAAAATTAAGTTTACTCTGATAATATCAAGGGAAAAAGCAACGAAGTAAATTTACTTAAGTACTGTAGTTAAGTACAGTTTTGAGGTACTTTTACTCTCTTCAATAATTCGAATTTTGGCTACTTTATACTTCTCTTCCACTACATCCCAGGGCAAATGGTGTACTTTTACTCCACTATGTTGATTTTTAAAGTTACTTAATTACTACTTACAGTAATTAAAATGAGCTCCACCTTTACCAGCTGCAGCATTAAAGTGATTAACACATTCATTCATTAATAATTATAATCTAGTGATATATATGATTCTGATAGGGGCCATTCTGCATAATGAGTACTTTTACTTGTAGTGCTTTTCAGTATATTTGACACCAATACTTGCATGTCTACTTGAGGAAACATCAAATGCAGGATTTGACCTGTATTGGAGGAGTTCTACACTGTGGTATTGCTTATTTTATTTATTTATAAGTACAAGATCTGAGTACTTCTTCCAAAACTAGATATAACAGTATTGATGAGATCCCTGCAATACTTTGTGCCTTTTTCAAACACATAATGTTATCCCAGATGTCAGTTCATATGTACAAGTTCCCTCTCCCTACTATGATCAATTTATTTACATTTTTTTTATTTATTTGGTCTTTAGTACATATATTTTGACTGTTCTTTGTTTTCTTCCTACTGCCTTTGTTTTTTATTGTGTTGCTGTATTGTGTTAATATAATGATGTAGGGAAAAATATAATTAAAAAATATGACATAACATACTGTAATAATAATATTAATAATGATATCCTGAACATCAGGATGACAAAGCACAGCGAGGAACAATCAAACACGTCAGTCAGACAAACAGTTTCAATTTAAAAGACAAATTTATTCTTTTAAAGCAACAACACAACACACAACGTATCAAAAGAAAAGTGAAATCTAGTGCTTTTCATGAATGAAAATAAAAAATTTGACTTGACAAAATGTATATATAAAAAAAAATATACAGTTTCACTCAGCACATTTCAACATGCAGCATTTATTTTATTAGTGGATTATCTCAGCTGCTAAAGAGATGAGAATGGCAGGATGTGGGTGTAAAACTACTTGTATGCATTACTGTCAGCAGTGTAAATGTTGAGCGACACGTTAACATTTAATCACATGTATTGAATCATACTGCGTTACTGTTCTATCATGCTGTGTTGATAATCTATTACTATTGCATGTAAACAACAATGAATGAAGCCACAAGGTCATGTCAGTGTATAGTTTTCTGGATTAGATTTACAGACTCGCAACTAACAGTTCCTCAAACCAAGACAGCCACTTTTAAACCCACTTTAGACTCAAAACCCCTGAGGTCTGGCGTGCAAATACTGGCTTTCCTTTACATTGCAAACATTTATTTAACTCTAAAATAAATACAAAAAATAAAACATTAGTTGTGTTCCCTCTGACGTGGAACTTGCTTGACGCGTTTTTACGACTCAGTAAAAGCATGACTTTAGTTTGAAAGTAGGCTTATGTCACAGACAAAACGAGGCACAAAGACGAGCCGCTCAAGCAACTCAATAATCACAAATACATCGCAGCCACCCAGCATGCAACTCAGGACTCAGAACAACACCCCAGCTCACCTCAACTGCACCAGCTTGGAGCTTAGAAATCCTACAAGGGGGTCTGGAAAGTTATCCAAACCTTCCTGACTCCTTCTCGCGCAGATTTGCTTTTTTAATCAGGATTTGAGGCTTTGGGTCGGATTTTCATTTGATGTAGCTGATAGTATCCAAGCATCCTCAAAAGTGCTGTTGCCAGAATTATTTATATATTAATTACCACTCAATTATATAATCTTTAAAAGTGACGGGCTAAATGCTCCTCTATAATGACAGGATATAATCTTATATACATTTATGCATTTCTTTTTCTGTGGCTTAAAAGCAATCAAATTCAAGAAGATTAAATAATAAAAAAAAAACAGCCTTTAAAGATTGGTTTGTATTTTTTCTTAATACAATATTCAAATGTTATGTGTTGAAGTTTAGATTTTGCTGGCTTTCCGTCCCTGGCAGTGAAGCTATTCCTTTTTTGTACTAAAAATTAGCTAGTGAATATTTTTATTATCAATTAATCTGAGAATTTGTTTTGATTAATTGTTTGGTTCATAAAGTAAAAAAACAATGTCGATAATAACTTCCCAGAGTCAAAAACTGACGTCTCCAAACACCTTGTATGGTCTGAACAATCCAAATACCAATTTTATATAATTGAAGACAAGTAAAAACAGCAAACCTTCCCATTTTCGAAGCTGGAACCAGAGAATATTTACCCTGATTTTTTACAGTGTAGTGACCAATTATTCCTTAAATGTACATATGGCAAAAAACGTTGTATTAAGATAGAATTTTAATGCACTTTTTTTAAAAACCACGATGTGTTTTTTATTTATGTGTAGCTGTAGAATGTAAACTCCTCCTCAGGTTGTTAAAGCCCCCAAATTTACAGACACAATACGGAGGACATGGCTTCTGTGTCCCAGGTTTTGTCGAATTCCCAAATGCACTTTATTAAAACCTACTTACTTTTCAAGACCCGATTAAGAACTCTGAGTACATTTTTATTCTTAAGCAAGTCGATCATGAAGCAAATCAGTCTGACACGTGCTTGCTCACGGTATCAAGATGGAAAATCTGTCAAAGGCTGACTGTCACTGACTGTGGCTGCACATTTTTGGCTTTTTTTCCATTTACTTTGGCAAACACTCAGCCCCAGACAAGTGATTTTAGACCCTCAAACCCACGTGTGGCTGCTTTTTTAAATTTATCTACTGGTTGGGCCTCTGGATGAAAGTTTACCCTGACAGATGATCACTGTTCACTGCAGCAGAGGTGAGCTGGAGGGCAGCTGCAGCCTCAGTTAGAAATGTCGGCGCTGTTGTTGCGGTTGCCGCATTTGTGGTGGATGATCAGCAGGACGACGCCCAGGAAGAAGCAGACAGAGCCCACGGTGATGTACGCGATGCCTAGGAACGGGTTCTTGCCCCCCATCCAGGAGATGGTGCTCAGGATCATCCGCTTCCTACCCTCAAAGCTGTGCACGGGATAATCTGTGCTCAACTGGTTAAAGGTGGGAACAGTAAACAGAACAGTAAACAGAACAGTTAACAGTAAACTGACCTCAGGGAACTATCAACTTAGTCTGTATTGAAAATTTGTCAACATTAACCTGTTCATCAACTTCTTTTAACTGTTCCCAGAGTTTTTGCAAAAAGCAGTTGATCTTAATTTTTTTTTAAAATTTCTAATTTATTTCACTTGCCAGATGGAGGTTTAAATGCCACAACAGTAACTTAACAACAGTCAGACAGTCAGATAAGTCTGTCTATCTTTTTTGGGGTTTCTTTGCAGTTGAGCCAGTTGTTGACAATGCTGGAATAGCAACTTCCTCTGCAGGATTCTCCATGCATTTAAAGAAGAGCCAATAGGAACGCTCTCTCTCTGAAATGACCTGTGATTGGCCAAAGTCTCCTGCCACAGATCAGATCTTCTAAAGCCTGAAAACAGAGCCAAGAGAAGGTGCAGAACTCTAGTGTTCAGGCAGACCACTTGTATTACAATATGCTCAAAGGTTATAATGGGACTTTTGCCCAGTGACGCCAAAATTAAACTGCCTACCCCTGCTTTAATGGGATTGATGAGTGTGTGCAGCCCCTAAGTTTTACACAAAGGATACTGTAGACGACCTCCAGAGTGTAGTTTCCTCGGGGCAGAGTTGGAACCATGTTGTTTTTCTTGTTGATGATGCGGTAGAGTTTACGGAAGGTTGGCAGGGCGGCGGTTCTCATCCACACAATAAAGTCCTCATTGATGAAGCCGTTGTTATCTGGATTTGCGTCCAGCTCGTAGACGGGCCTGCGCCAGTTCACCGGCTTCGTTGTTCCTGAAATAAAAAGGGAGACAGAGCAGCGCTGAAGTTGACTTGCACTAAAATGCAAATTACTGCTGAAAGGTCAGTAACTCCAAATCCAGGTAGAGAAAAAAAAAAGCTGCCCATGATACCTTGAAAAACGGCTGTGAGGTTTGAGTTGCCGCCTCCAGGGTTCCCGAACTTCACATGCTTGTCGGTCCACCAGGCAATACCTGTAGTGTTCAGAGGAATCTGTATCTTTGTGCCGTTGGGGTCGTTGTAAAACAACTCCAATGTGTCTGCCATCACAGGAAAGAGGGTGGATTAGTAATTATTCTTTAAAGCATACTCATACGTTTTGTCAGTAAACAGAGCAGGAAACTGGCTCACCATTGAACATGCTGTTGGCGATGGCCCCACATGGTGCAATTGGCTTGTTTTCATGAAAAGCATATGGCTCACACTCCTTACTGGGTTTCTGTGAGTAATGATGATGACAAGGAGATTAAAGACAAATGGCAGCATCTGCTGGCCACACTTAAAACTGCAACAGGTATATATCTGTACAAGAACACACCCAATTTATCAGCCTAACCTGAGACAAACAAAAGCATTACTTTAGGAAAATGTTTCCAAACTTTTGAGCGGAACTGTGTAACAAAAATTAAATCAGATTTACATTGACTTTCTGAGTGCTTAAGACAGGATATGGTAACTTTCCTATGGAGTAAAGATGAAAATGAATTAATACATGTGGATACCTAAACAGATTACAGTAATCTTACTTAACCAGTTTCTCTTTGGTCTGTGGTTCGTCCTGAAAATCACAGTTGCTGCTTGCTAAAACCTTCAGACAAACAATAGATTTGTGGAACACACACACATCAAGGTGGTTTGATGCACCACTAAAGACTGCCAATGCAGCACAAGTAAAAGCAGTGGATGCATTTGTTAATCTATAACGATGCCTTAAATGTACTCTTACTGCATTAAGGCTGAGTGTTTCCTGACCACACTGAGTGAATGTTTCCTCCAGGGAACACTAGTCTCACTGACAGTATAAATTTGCCAATTCGGGGCCTTGGATTGAAGAGCACCAGCCTGACAGACTGGTTGACAACACCGTTATATGTGCACTGAAGCTTAACCAATAACCCGACTTAGGATTTATAGCTTTTAAAGTTGAAGTCTTGTGTTTTCGTGTTGCCTGGTGCAGCTTTAACAGCGTGATAATACAGTTTCAGTGGCACTTTGTGAACTCAGTCATGTGATATCAGAGAGTGGAAGTAAGTCACACCATGAGGGATTCCATGTCTCCATTCAGCTGGCTGTCATCTCTTGACTTGACGTAGCGACGGTGATTTTGGTAAAAGTTGGAGAGGCCATAATACATGTAGACGTTGCTCTGTTAAATAAGACAAAAGTATAAAAGACAAATTGTCCAAAACTGGATTACTGAATATTTTTGAAAAATATTTGTAACATTTTCTTACCTCATATGGCTGCTCCAGGTAGAAAGGTATTGTGCAGGTGCAGGGCCGTGTGCTGTTCCAGCTGAAGTTCTCGGCGCAGTTGAAGCAGGGACTGGACTTGTCCACTCCTGTGTAATCCACCTGTAAACACACAAGAAAACTTTATCTATACAGCACTTTTAAAAACATAGCAACAATGTGCTTTCCATGAGAGTGAAAAGACAGTGTAAAGCAGATAAAGGGCAAAAAGTCTGCAGTCCTTAAAATCCAGTTGGTAGGTCAAGAAAAAAACAACAACTTCAGCACATTTTAAGGGTGTGTTTTAACGTTCTCTATTAGTCACTCTGTAACAAGGTCGCAGACATGAATAGCTGTGTGACACAATGACAGATTACACTTGTGTGGTAAGCACAAAACATGAATATTTTTTAATCACAGAAACAAAGATGAACAAGCCGCTGGAGAAACAAATGGCAATATAAATGGGCAGTACTGTTGTGTGTCTGTGGTTTCATAGGCAGTGCAGCATATTCTTAAATCGCTATGAACTGTTGTCATGGAAAAAGCCAAAAAAAAGACATATAAAAATCGTCCATTTTAATGTTTTCTTTCATTTCAGACACACTGTCGAGACAATTGTGCTTAAGCATTTATCATAGATAAACATGCTTCACGCATAAGTAACGTCTTTTGGAATAAAATTACAGTCATAGTAAACTGACAAAGCAATGTTATTTAGGTAAGTGGTTGATTTTATTATTAAAATTAAAGCAGATTTTTCGTCACATATTTCGCCGATTTAACTGGGGGAACATAACGTTAGATAAAATACTATAATTACATTAGAGAGGACAGTAAATTTGTCGCTATGCGGGGTAAGGATAAATTGCACATTTCTTGCATGGACTTTGGCGTGACTGGTCTGAGTGTAAAAGCCAGCTCCAAAGGGAATATTCACATATTATTGTGTTGCCTTGTCATTGTGTATAATGGGTATTGTTGCACTGTCACTGTAGGTTTGCTGTATAACGTTATGTTACCTCAAACTCCTTGATGTTGTTGGACGTCACATACAGGCCGATGCCAATAGGGATGAAGATGAGTCCGATGATGAAGAAGGCTGGTAGCACTGTGCCTGCGGTGAGGATGGGCTGCCAAGCGGGCAGTCTCTGCTGTTTGAACGCAGTGTTTTCGGGCTTCTTGCTCCGCAGAGACCCACCACCAGGCCCGGACACTGTGATATGCCCATCCTCGTCTTTGGCGTTGTAACTAGACGCCATCATGATTTCTGCCAGAAATTACTAAGTTGTTGCTAACGTTCGCCAGCTAACGCCGTTAGCTCCTCGCTGTCACTAACTTGTCAACACACAATATTTAAAGCCCAACTGGCGCGCTGGTATATGGCGACGAGTTACTTAAATTACAAAATTATGTTGTCATTTTCTGGAGTGTTATTTGGTGATTTAGTCCATTGCTGTAATCATCAACAGGCTAGCTACAAAGCTAGCAACAACGGCTGCTTCCCCAGGAAGTTTACAAACACGGAGGAGGGAGGAGAACGCAACACGCAGTGACGTCACTAATTTAGTTATGCCCTGATGCTGCCTTCGTGGGCTTTCAAGAATATCGGCAATTATATATATACCGCAGCTTTCCATTATTGGCCTCCGGTACTACAGCTCTCCATTATTGGCTATCCAGTAAAAATAATCTTTGTGATGATGCATTGTTTCTAAGGCTGTTTTCTCCTTTTGACAAAATACTTTTCCAGAGGGCCAGATTTTGTAAGTATATCTGGGATGATAGCCCGCATAACAAGTATTTGACATTTCTGACCTTGGAATTAAAAGTTTACGTAAAACACTTGAACAAGCATTATAGGCGGTCATTTGAAATCAGCACAATGACATCGCCTAAAATGTAATTAAACAAAAAAAACATTGTACTGGTACCACTGGGTATAAAAACGATGAGGAATATGCTGAGTATCCAGGCTACTGTCTGTGAGCAGGATGAAACAATGATTCACAGAAAGTCATCAATACCATCTCTTGTTAAAATTTTATTTTTTTTTATCAGACAAATCCACTGCTGTAGTTTCAAGTACACATGGTGCATTATCATGTATATCTTACTGAAGTTTCCCAACAGTCAGAAATCTCACCATCTGTATTTAATAACTGCACATAAATGGAGTATTTTTTTATAGTGGGCTTTTCAAAGGAAAACAAAACCAAAATCCTTAAGTCCCAAAGCGCTGTAAAAGTATATAATCAACACAAATAATGTATTCTTATGTTTATTATAGGCCTACTATCACATACACTTTAAACCAACATACCAATGATTTCCCTTTGCTACTTTCCATACACATAAGTAACTTTCACTTTCCACTGTATGACAAACTGTCTTTCCAGGACCAAATTATCACATTCAGATAACACACAGGCCCTTTTTTATTCTAGAAATTAAACCTTAAGATATCTAAAAAATATACAATGAGTTATAGCTACAAGCTTTTTTCTGCCCTTCTGTGGAACATATGAGATGTAACTATTACCCATTGTTGTGTTAAATACACAAATAAATGGGTAATGCTGCCAGCAACAAGTGGTGAGATGGGACATTGGGTCAAAAGTCCTTGCCATGATACAGCATATACTTAACTCTCCATGAACTGTCCTGTCAAAGAGCATCACACAAAACTCCATTAAAAAATCTTCCATTTTAGATTTTCCTCTGATATCATACACATTGTTTTGGTTCAGTCGGTAAATATCTGACCAACTGTACTCTTATTTTATGTAATTCATGTAAGGCACGAGGAAAACAATATTTTCAGATCAATTCTGTGCCACATTTATGAGTGAATTCATCAGTTTTCTTCCAATGTGACTTTCATTTAAACACAGTTTTGGTGTCACTGTGATTCACTTGGAGTGGTGCAACTTTTCCTCTCTCTCACTGGTATCCCATCCAACTGACCATAGAGCTGTTTTTGGTATGAATGCCTGGTTAAAGAGATGGGGATTTGTTCAACAGGCCCTCTCCACTGCCTCAGCTACCCCCTCAGACTTCAAGCCCTGAAACCCTCAGCTCATCATTCAGTCTGAAGTATGATCTCTTCACTGTAGATGGCAATCACTGTACATTTGTTGATTCAGCTTTATGAACTTTTGTGATTACTACAACCAAAAGATAAGATTGAAAATTTAGGGAAAAATTATTTATAACTGGGCAAGGAGAAGGGGGCGGTGCCAACAAAGTCTGGACAGCCTGGACAAACTGATGAATACTACATTTCAGATTGTGACTGTACCACAAACTGTACAAAGTACGTAGATAACACTCTGTGTGAAAGCTCTTAGTTCTTTCATTTCAAACTGCAGCCTTGTTTACATCACGCCTTGCCAACAAGATGTAAGAGGAACTGATAATTCAGTGGGTCTGAATAAAGGTGAAGAAGTGCTTCACTGTGTGTCTTGCAGCTTCAACCATCTCAGCGGATCTCAGCTCAGCGTCTGGTGTTTGCCGAGGCGTTGTCCATCAGTGGACCTGTGGTGGAAAATTACAACAGATGTTTTCTTCTAGAGGGCACATTATAGTCTCATTTTGGCTCAATAATACATTTATTTTCTTCTTAGCTACTGAAGCTAGCTTCAGAGTGCTGCCCAATCACTATTTTGGCACTTTATATTAAAAAGAATCAAATCACTGTCTGAATGAAAAGTTAGTTTTGGTAGGAAAGAAAACCCAAAGAGAATTTTCATTAACTCTGAAGCATTAATGTGATTTTAGCCTCTTTTGGCACTTAACTGTAGCAAACAACCTCTGATGGTCAATTCAAAGATATGTATTAGTGCCACAAATCTGCAGTTAGCAGTGCTAAAACAACATAATACAAACCAGCAGCCTAATGGTTGTTAGTGAAGCTGTAAAAAAAAAGCTATATTTCCCAGATGAAAAAGGCAGAGAGGAGAATATTCAATAATTCATATAACATATTTGAAGGATTCAAAGCTGAGTACTAATACTAACTAATACCACTTATAACAGCTGCATTTCCTTATGGTTATTTCAGAGCACTGTTGTTTTTTCAATAATGGCTGTTACTGAAGAATGATTTTATTTTCTTAGATTGTTTCATTTGAAAACATTTCAGAGGCCTGGAAGTCTAACACAACAGTAGAGAGAACAACAAAGACGCAAAGATTAGAGGAAAGTCTGAAAAACAGCCATGTCTCACCCCCATGGTGTCAAAATCGTTGCTTGGTCAGTGGCTTTGGCGTCAGATATGAACACACAATGCACCCATTAGCATCTGCATGAGACACATTGGCCTTTAAGCAAACTCCAATGTAAACCCCTTAGTGTCATTAACTGATAGTCAGTGCAATAGAGGTGGTTTTAAGAGCAAGAAAGTCCACTTAGAACGCGGAGGGGAGGTGGACGGGTCCAACAAGCACAGGACTTTGACCCAGCAGACCGATGTTTGTGTCCCATGTGAAACTTAAAGTGAAGGTTGAATTATTTTGTCACATGAGTAGTTAGTCATTCATTAGTCAGTTGTTGTCAACTCACATGACTAACGTCAACCACGATCTTTCCCTGACCGTAACCAAGTAGTTGTGTCACTTAAACCTAATCTGCGACCCCTTCTGCATCAAGGCCACCACCAGCGTCACTATAATGACACTGGGAGCGTCTATCCAAGTGTCAAAATATGACAAGAAGGGATGAGATCATGTTGGTAAAATAAACATTATTTTGTGTATCATAATTTAGTTTCTCCTTATTTTCCACTTAGGCAATCATCTCATGACCCCTTGTAATGCCCTCAACCCACAGGTGGGGCACCATTGATTTAAGCTATCAAGCAAATGCCAAACATTCTCAAAAACAAAGATTTAGTGTTTTTCTCCAATTTATTTCATTATAAACTGAACATGTTTGGAGTTTGAACTGTTGGTCGGACATAAAAAGCAATTTGAAGACTTCACCTCAGGCTCTGGGAAACCGTGGCACTGTTTTCAGACATTTTATCAACAATATTGATTTTCAGGTTATCACTAAGGCCCTGCTCATAGCTGCTGACAGTTGTGTACTGACTTATAATTCTTTTTCCTACATCAAGTTTCACACAGTTTTCTCAGAGGGAAAGAGCCATGGCATGACTGCGGACAGGAAGATCATGCTCAGTTGTGATTTTTATAATCCTGCGCAGCCTCTGTACTTTCTCCCAGGAAGAGCATTTGATCCGTCTAAATCTCTCTGCAGCAGCCTCGGGGGAAGTCACGGCCAATATTCTGCAGCTGAGACAAAAACACACTGCTTGTTGTGAATCAGCGTATTACACTCTCCTCCTGTTTTCCAGATGCCTCTTTCATGCCCTTGTTTCCTTACATCAGCAGCATTTCCAAGTCTCTCTTCCTCCCAGCTGTTTGGTTATTAGAGGCTAATTAAGAGTTTGTTGAGATCACTTCTTTTGGTCCCTGGTCTCCTTTCAGAACACATGATCCTGTACCTGCACCTGCACCTGCAGATTATTCTGGTTTATTGATTCTTGTTTAATCAAAGATTGCAGTTAGATGAGTATTAGAGGATGTGTGAGGCGGCTGCTGTGGCAGTAACCTGATTTATATGTTTAGAGATGTCAGATTTCTTCCTTATGAAAAAAAAAATCTTAGTCGTTTTGTATTTTTGTACTTGTCCATGAGAGGGAGCTAAATGCTTACTGAAGCTTCTATGTAATGCTGAAAAAATCAAATATGATACACAGTAATATGTATTGCAACCACAGAAATGTTCATATTATCATGTAGCAGGGGACATCAACAATCTTCCTGATGTAACAGTGAGTCTGTAGAGTTCATCAGTAACTTAAACATATCGTTTAAGACAGTAGATATTTATGTAAACCTGGAATAAGACCATCTTCATGTTTATACCATTCTTCTTTCAAATCTTCACTATAAAATTACATCGCACAAGTAGAGTTTTTTTATGACAACCTGTTTGTACAACCATGTGTAAAAAGTCAAATGAAATCATATCTATTGGCAAAATTCATGAAAAAAACCCCCCAACTCTTTCACCCAGTGTTTTTCAAGTTGCATACCCAACTTACCAAATTTACAAAAATGTATAATTACTCACTTAATTTCTGGTAGTATCTTGTTTGTCTGGAACCTGGAAATGTTTTAAATTGAATAAATATCTATCCATGCTTACAGTTTGGTTTTATTTATCCAGGGTTTGGTACTCACAGCATTAGAAAAAAAATAGAACAGCAACAATGTCTTTCCAGAAAAAAATGTCTCTGTTGCTCTGGATGAGGAGTTTTCAGAGTCTGACTCTGTGGGCTGTGGAGTCCCCAAGGCTCCAACTTGGGCACCGTTTTTTAGCCTGCTTGTTTAAATTAAAAGTATGCCAAATTAGCCTTTAGCAGCTCTTTTTTACAATGTACCCATGAGCATACAGACAACTATCATGTGACTGGAGCACTTTGATACTGAAGAAAACTTAAAAAACGTGATAATCCTCAGGCAAATCCTGCAGTTAGAAGTGTTTTCTGATTTCTATGCATAGTTTTGGACATTTATTTGCAATGGACATCACAGATTATGACAACAACAGCATTGGTCTTACATTTTCTAAAAATACATGTATATGTGTTGTATTTAAAATGGCCTACCATGGAATAGGCTACAGAATTTCTGTTATCACTAAAGTCTATCCATTCAGCATTTATTGAGATTAATGTACAAACTCAAGATTAGACACTGTACACTGTTCAAGTTAAATATAGGCCTTCCTTTTTTCATCCAAAACAACACGTTGCCAAGACATGTACAGTAGGCCTACTATCATTTTCACACAGGCCATGGAAACATCACATGAAACATAAGCTCAGACATTAGTTGATAAGGCTGTTGAGTTGTGCTTTGTTTATCAGCATGGCCAGGTTAATATTATGGAGGTTTCCTGGTTGATTCTCACCCACCATTTTTTAATACACACAAAGCTCACTCACACCAGAGACAAATGAGTTCTACAGAGCAATGCCGTACTTGGTTCAGATATAAATAATTTTTATTTTGGTGCCTGTCACAAATGATGACAATTCATACTGTCACAAACAATTCACAGTGCTCCAGTGACTGGAAACCTCCAAAAGCAATGTTGAAATAAACACATGCTATGAAAATGTGAATGATGAGAGCCAAGGCCGGATTAACCATATGGACAACTGGGCAATTGCCCAGGGGCCCGCGACCTCTGAAGGGCCCGGGGCAGTGAGGGCATAAGGAAAATATCTGGTTATCTCTTGCTTATAATATAAACTGTCCGCCGCCCGGAGCCGTTGCACTGCACAGAAACCCTGCACTGTGGGGGCCCGTTACGGAGCAGCTCCGGGAAGAGGCGATCTACCGAGGGCCTGCAGCTTTCCAGAACCGGGCTGCATCGGTAAGAGAGTCCTGTCGTGGGAGTAGGACACGCTCCCTCACTAACGATTTGCTTCATTGCCGTCTCCCAAACAACAAAATTGTGCCAAGGGAATGGCTTCTTTACTCGCCATCAACTGGATCAGTTTATTGCTTTGTGTGCAAACTCCTGTCATCCCAAAAGCATGCATTTATCAGCGGATTCTGTGATTGGAAACATCCAGAGAGGATTAGTGATCACGAAAAGATCGCAGTACACAGACAAAACATGCTTTCTTTATTGCACAGGTCTAATTATGCATGCAGAGTGGACGCTTCTCTTGCCCGACAGTGTGAGGCAGAACAGCAGTACTGGAAATAAGTCCTCAGACGTGTGGTTGCTGTTATTAAATTTATGGGAGCGAGAGGACTGCCATTTCGAGGCGACAACGAACTGCTCGGCTCCGCGCACAATGGGAACTATTTGGGACTGCTTGAACTGATAGCGGAGTTTGACCCCTTTTTAAAGGAGCACATTGAGAAGCATGGCAATAAGGGTAGAGGTAAGCCATCTTACCTGTCCTCAACTGTGTGTGAAGAATTTATTTCATTAATGGGTGACAAAACTCAGAAAGTGATAGCAGAGGAAATCAGACACGCTAAATATTTCTCTGTGATCGTTGATTCATCACCAGATTTAGCACACGTAGAGCAGCTCACATTTGTTTTTCGTTTTGTCAGTGCAGATGGCAGAATAGTAGCTGGTCGGCATGGCATTTTTTTTATTGTAGCCTATGTTAGGTCATATGAAGTGTGGGGCTAATTCGTCCTAACAAATGGCTGCATATCTCATATGTCACGTGGAAGTTCAGCCCTGGTTAAACCGTGTTATTATGGGAAACAACAATTGCCTTGGAGCGGCCTGGCACATATGCATGAATCATGCATATGTGCCAATAAGTGTTGTTAAATAAATACTGGATGCTTTGAAAGTGGTTGCTTATTTATTTTTTTGTGAAAATGGAGGACACTTCCCTCCCTCTCTAATGTAGTGGGTCAATTTTGCCAGATTATACTGTAGCTGATGTGTTTTATTTTCATAGCATCATATGTGAGTGAGTGGCTTTGACAAGAGGACATAGTGGTGCATTTGTATTTCTATGAGCATTTGCACATCTGTACATCAAAATGCACTTGATGACAGTTAGATATTGATGTATTGAGTATATTTACGTATATTACTGGAATTTATTTATTCTTTTGCCATATTATAGTGATCCTGGGGTCGTGATGATGGGGCCCTTGAATATTGTTGCCCAGGGTACAGCGAAGTGTTAATCTGGCCCTGATGAGAGCAAGTCTAAAGCTACTGCCAAAAAAATATCATGAGGATGAAGTTAAACATAATGCACAGATGCAAAAGAGACATGCAAAGAGATGCTTCGGTGGAAATTAAAATATAATGAAACACCTTAAAAACCTGCCCTTGAAATGACATAAAAGCTTTCCTGATAACATGTATAAACTGAAATAGTGTTTAGAAAGCTAAGCTGTTGTGAGAGGCAACATCACACAGAGTCCCATTTGTGTATTTATACTGATGTGGCCTGTGACTCGTATTTGGCAGCAGATTTGGTGGCAAACTCAATCATGAGGTGTTCAGATTGAGTTGTTGCCATGGCAGCGTGTTTAGCCCTCAGCTCTTGCCTCCTGCTGCAGAGGCAGAGCCACACACCGTCGACTTCCTCAGCTCAATTTTCATCGACTGGCTCTCGGCCCGCGACTCTAACCTTGTCACCGTCGACACACCCAGAACCTTGCTGCTTGGTTTCATACCTTTTGACACTGGGATCCGTGTGGCAGCACTCCGAGCTGACTGCACATCCGAACTGGGCTGCAAAATAAATGACAAGGCAAAATAAAAAAAGGATCTGGATCACAGAAACACAAAAACACAGGAGGTGCAGGAGATGTTATGTTATGCCGGAATTGCACATAAAGAAAAGGTGAGCTCCCCAGTGAGCATGGTTTTGGTTAGCCCTGTTCCAGGATCACTCTACTTCATATTACAGTCCATCCCCCATAACTCAGACATTTCTGACAGACATTTCAGCTCATAAAATTTGTTACAGGAAGATTTATGAAAATATGAACAAACAGGATAGTAGACAATCTTCTTAGCAGCTTTTAAGGTGGAAAAAAATAATGTCAAGCGTGTCCAAAGTAACAAAAAAGCATGACGTTCTCTGAGCAGTGGTGTCTTCATACTGAATGCAAAGTGAGTGTAGCACATTGAGGTTACATATAAAGTCAATGCAAAGGTACAAATAGATATAAATTTGCATGGGCAACACAATTGACCTGAACACTCAAAATTTGCTCTATTCACTTAGTCCTGGGAGTTGAAATTTTCAACTTGATGTTCTTTTCTTGTGGAAAGTAAACAACGGAATAAATAAAGCAGCAATTTGTTGCTGTGACAGTATAATAAATAGTAAGGTGTTGCCATCTTGGTTAATACTGGTTCAGAGCACAGAGCCCTTGTGTTAACTGTGATCACATCACTCGATTCCAGCAACCGGTTGTGCTTATCTGCGAACCAAGTTAGCCATAGCTGCTGTCACCAGTTATTTAGCACAACTATTAGCACAGCTGCTATAATATATATATTTGTTGGAGTTAGTCATTCATCCAATCATCCATCATTACCTATACCCACTTATTCTTGCAGGGTTGAGGGGGCCTATCTCAGCACACATATGGCGGTAGCCGGTCTATCACAGGACTAACACACCTTTACACACAGAGGCAATTTAGAGTTGCCAGTTAACCTCACCTGCATATCTGGACTGTGGGAAGAAACTGGATAAACCCACACTGGCAAGAGAAGAACATACAAACTCTGCAGACCTGCTGCTCAGGACTAGATCATGTATTTTGTTTTTGTTTTTTTTCACCTTGTCAGTTGTTAAAAAAGATTGCCTACCATGCAGAAGGTTTTGGTTTAAGCGACTGAAATGTCCAAGTTACTGATGATGGTCCTGGAACAGGGCTAGCCTCTGACTCGGTGACAAATTATCAAGTCAGTGTTTTTTGGGTCTATTTAACACAAGTGTGTGAGAGTTAACTGGGGTTGGCCCTCTCAACTATTAACTGACATCAGGTTGGGTAATATTATGAGAGTTTGAACAGGGTGGCATGTCTGTAAATTGAAATTCTTAAAGTGAAAAAGTGAAAGATCCAAATGGGTCACTTTTTGCCCGTGTTTGGTTAAAGGGAGTGAATTTGTCAGTTGGTAAATTTTCTATACAAGACCCTTGGAAAGGCCTCTCTGGGATCTAATGCATGTCAGATCATTCCAGTGTTAGTTTCATACCAGTGAGATCGTATGTTTATAAATTCATTGTCTTATACCTGGAGAGAGTGCTATCTAGGGAGCACACACCACCTGATTTCATTTTGAAACATTTCAGAAGCAACTGCAATGTAAAAGATTAGACACTGTTCAGATATTTTTGTTTGTGGATTAAAGCAAAATGTCATCTATGCCTCTTTATGCTTGTGGCATATTCAGAAAGAAAGACAGATGGAGGGCATAATGATCTCTAAAGCTCTCACCACTGACTGTGTTGGCTTGGAGGATGCTGAGGTGATTGGTGTGATTGTTATGCTGCTTGTCATTTTGCTCTGAGTGGTCTTCCCCATTGAGGTCTGGCGTGGGGAGCGGAGAACCGTTCCTGTTGACATTTCCTTGCTGCTTTCTGAGCTTCTGAGTGTCAACACTGGATTACTGCAGCCCTCTGAAGGCCTCTTATACTGTGGACCCAAGTGAATGTGGATTTTGTTGTCCTCTGTTGTGATGATGTTGCTGTTGCCATTGTATTTCCTAAAAGGTGCCAGCCCAGGTTGCTTCTCTGGGGTCATCTTGATCACTGTGCGGCCAGCCGGAATATCATGAGGCTCAGTTGAAGCACATGCTTCAGCCACAGGAGTGGTACTGACTGTGATGATGGACACCGGTGACTGAAGGCTGTCAGAGCTGCAGCCGTTGGTCTTCTCTGGACTCATGGCCCTGGAGATGGTGGTTATCGTGACAGGTGATTTGGCTCGATCGAGACCTCCTACAGACTCACAGGATTTGCTCTTTGATGCTACGGTTGTGGGCTTCGGGACGATTGTGATACGAGGTTTTTGAAGGCCGAGAGTTGGGATGATGGTGGTGCTGGAGAAGAAATCCTCAGCTCGAGGGCTGGTGATCTCCAAGGTGGCAGTGCTGTTCTCGTGATCTGGAGTCACTCGAATGTGCAGTGGCTGGCCTGGCCTGGTAATCTCAGGTGGTTGGAGCAAGGATGCCCTATTTGTCTTGTCAGGAGTGGTCTGAGTGAGTGTGATGGCCTCCTTCCTTTTCAACCAGGATGTCCAGGACTTTCTTGCACCAAGCTCTGCTGAAGCTGGAGGGTATCGTTCAAGAACTGTTGGCTTTTTCAGTCCCCGTTGTCTGAGGTTGCTCATTAAGTGGTTTTCCTCAAGGACGGATTTCCGGATAAAGCCTGCCGTCGTCTCGTCTTCAGCAGGCTCACTGGCCATCACATCTGTCTGCACTGCTGTGGAAGTAACCGGGACACTGACCATCCTCGTTCCATTCATGCTGGGCCTCAAGGCACGACTGTAGCGCTTTGTGGCTTCCAGCTCTTTGGTAAGGTTGACAAAGTCATGGCTCATGCTCTTCTTCTTCTCTTCCTCTTCCATGAACCTCTGCTGGAGGACAGAATAATCCACCTGCAGCTGGGAGAGCTGGTCTTCCTTGTTCATCAGTTCATGGATTTTCTCCTTCAGGGCCTGGACGTCTGCCTGCAGCTCTCTGGTTTTGGCCTCCTCCATCTTGCAGCGAATTCTAAGCTCAGCCTCTGGACTCATGACCTCGCCTTTCTCTATGGCTTTGTTTCTGGCAATCTGACTTTTCATTTCTTCCAGCATCTTTGAAAGGGTATTCGCTTTGTCCTGCTCTGTTCTGAATTTCTTCTCCAGTAGATCATACTCATCCTCTGTTTTCATTAAGTCACCTTCTACCACCTCAAGTTGTTTGAGCCTGCTCTTTAGTCTTTCAATTTCTAGCGTGAGCTCTTTGACTTTGTTGTCGTCATCTGGATTTCTGTTATTGTCCTTGTTGGACCACTTTCTCTGCATTTCCCTCTCTGATTCCTCAAGTCCATCCATTCTTATTTTCATACTACCCAGTTTGGTATTCATCTCCCTACACCTTTCCTCTTCACTTACAAGTTTAGTTTTTAACTCCTCTTTCTCTTTAATGAGGGTTGACACTTTGACCTCCATTTCTGATTTGAATTTGAGAAGCTTTTTGCTCTCCTCAATCAGCTTCTCTGTGACCTCTGTAACCTTGCCCTGCTCTGCTTTGAACATCTTACTCAAATCATCACTTTTCTGTTCTTCCTGTTTAAGCCTCTCTGCCATATTTTTTCTTTCATCTACCAGTATAACTGTGAAGGATTTCAACTTCATAAGATCATCTTTTAGGACCATCTCTGCCTTTTCAAACTTTGACTCGGCGCTCTCAAGTTCTTTCAACCGAGTTTTCACCTTCTCCAGTTCACCAGCCAGATCCTTCACAACACGTTTCTCTTTTTCAAGGTTTGTATGAAGCTGAGAGCACTCTGTTTTGCTCCTGCTGAAAGCCCCCTCCAGTTTTTCCAGTTCAACCATTCTCTTCTGCAATTTGTCTACCTCCAGCCTCAGCTCCTTGCTGTGATTCTCCTCACTCTGCAGCTTTTTCCTCAGCTCCCTGCACTGAGTCTCTGTTTTGGTTATCTCCTCATCCTTGCCCTCCATCTCCAGCACTCTCTTCCGCAGATTCTCCAGCTCCGTCATGAGAGACGAATTCCCACACTCCCCTTTGCTGATCTTCTCCCTTAGCTCCTGCAGGTCTTCGTCTGATTTTTGCAGCACCTTGTTGCTCTCCTCAAGCTCTTCAATCTTGTGTGCCAAACCAGCTAGCTTCAGCCTAAGCTGTCGGCTTTGGGACTCTTCGTTGGCCAGTTTGGCCGTCATCTCCTCGTGTTCCTGTGCAAACTTGGCCGCTTTGTGCTCCAGCTCAGCCTCCAACTTGAGGATCTTCTGTCCGTCCTCCTTTGCGGTGTCACTGACCGCTGTCAAATGCTGCTCTTTCTCTTGCAGCTTCTGAGTGAGGTCCTGGATCTTCTGGCTCTGCTGGTCAATCTGCTCGATATGCAGCTGCCGCTCGTCTACCAACATCAGGGCAAAGGACTTGAGCTTAACCAGCTCCGCTCTGACCTTCTCCAGCCTCCTGCTGTGTTCCTTGTCCTTACGAGCCTGGTAGGCCTTCTCCTGCTCCAACAACCTTTTGAGTCTGAGAAACAGAAGAAAACAAGATGTGAGTGGGTGTTAATGTGAAACATATTTTAACCAGAACATTGTGGCACTGCAGAAGATATCAATACTGAATTAATTTGACATCAAAATGTTTAGAAGTACACTTACAAACATGAATAATTACATGCAGAAAAGGAAACATATCAGATGGGGGAAAGATGTTGCACATCTCTATCAAAGCCAGACCAGACTCAGAATGAGAGCAATAACCACCTGATCCAGGATGGGGAGACAGGCAAGCAGAATAAAAGGCAACAACAGGATAAGCGAAGGAACAAAGGAAATAAAAAAAGAGGCAGATAAAGGCCCAAATACTTGTGATTCTCACCGACAGAGCTGTCCTGTTTAGAGTTCAGTAAAGGGAAGAATTACAGCCGCATGTCATGATCTCCATTAACACGCAGGTGTCTTGAGTTGAAAGCTTTAGTTATGTCTGCTGTGACTTACCCAACTGATCACAGTCAAGGCAGAAAATACCCCTGATAGAATTTCATTTGTGTGTATGCGTGTACAAAAACTGCACCTATACATCTGGTTGTATGCCAGGATGTGTCATTTAAGTGTCATCTAACCACATGTTATGGCAAAAGTGTTCAACTGTCTTGAATGTGCTTCACCCACTAGAACACAGAGCAAACAGCTTGTATGCAATTGTGCCATCTCTAAACCTCACCCAGTGTTCTGTCTGAACATTGTCAGAGGACAAAAGAACAGAGGAGAGATACTATCTCACTGCTGTACCTGTATGACATAGAATCTTGCACAACACACCAAATGACCGGGATAAAGCAGTAGTAAGAGGTACTGCAGAGCTGCCAACAAAGTTCAAGAGAATTCAGCTTCACGTTGGTAGATGTTTAACTAATCTCTGCAGGAGTCTCTGTGTGTGTCTGAGAGAGAGTCTGCTACAGTTTCCCGTTCATGTGGGTCACATCAGACAGGTTTCAACACAGCAAGTGTTCTGCAAGTTTGAATCAAAAAACGCAGATTCCAGATGTTTGCAGTCTGCTCCTCCTGTGTCAAAAAACTTCCTCCCCCGAATCTCTGTTGAACTTACCAAAGAGTTGGGATGCAGAGCAGGTTGATCCATATCTGTTTTTAAAGCTGAGCAGGAGCCAAACTGCTGCTGCTGTTGCTGCTGCTGAGTCTCTCACGGTGCCAGAGAGTGAAGGAAGGAGGGGGCCCAGCACTGTGGGGAATTAAAGCCATCACATTCCAAACATGTCATCGTTGGACAATGAAAAAGGTGGATGTCGTCCTAAACAGCACTGCTCCGCTGGCTGGTGATGTCATCCACCCCTCCATATATGGCCAAAGAGGCCCTGCCCTTGTTTGGACACCAAGGAAGAGGAGGGGTTCAGAAAGCTTTTCCTCTTCTTCTTTCTCCTGTTTTGTTCTCCCTTTTGAGAGGCTAGCCAACTGGGCAGCAGGTATGACATAACTCATGAAGCCACTTTTAAGTCTAAACATTTCTGTCCTTTTCCTAAAAATGCTGCTCCAGTTTTGATCTAATTGTCTCCTGTCTGTCTTAGAGCCAGCAGTGTCTCCATAGAAATGAGGCAACAATGCAAGGCGAGAGTTTTTGTTTTGGAGCAGACAATGCCAGACTTGCACAGCCTTTCTCATTATAATCCCCCTGTATCGTGCAAAGGGAGAAGGACGTGGATATAAATTCTCCATAGTGGCTGAATTGTATGTGTGTGAGATCATAGCTTCAGACAGCAGAGGAGGCCTGTGGTTTGCATTGCAGAGGCTCTCAAATGAGCCAAATATGAGCAGTGCAAAGAGCTTACAGATGCAGAGGGTCTCTATCATTGCTCCAAATACATGCTATATATAAATATCACCAGTACACAAAAGCACTTTTACATTAATTGCCTGTGTTTTTGTGGCTTAGATATTTGCACTTTTGTTGGCTGCCTGTAGTTTTGGAAAGAAGTCGATTCTTCTGTTGCACACATTTCAACTCTTGCTAGATAAAAGCCTCTAGGACATTTCCCCATTAATTTCCAGCGACAAGGCTTGTGGTTTTGTACAATCAGGAATAAATCAAATGACAACATGTTGATGCCATTTGTAGTAGAAGTTCAAGGAGAAACTACACCTAACAATATAACTCATGCAGGTGTAATAATTCAATTTTCATTTTTATATAATTTTCTTTTGAAGTCTTTTTGTTAAGGCTCAAAGATATAAGCACAGAAGAGCAACAATACAAATCATTATCATTATCACCCATTATCCTCTTACCCAACTCTTCCCGATGTCTGCTCCTTCCACATCAAATCTTCCCACTGCTGGCCAGACAAATATTAAAAAATGAGTAACAAATGGCCACATTTTGGAAAACAAACCATCACTTTGGTCCAGACTGAAATTTCTCAATAACTTTCAACTGGATTGCCATGAAATTTTGAAGACAGATTAATGGTGTCCTGAGGATGAAGCCTACTGACTTTTAGTGTTCCCTTTCATGTTTCATCCAGCACCTCCATCAGGTTAGACTATTAAGTGTCCTTTGGTTAATGACCAAATATCTGCAGAACTAATGACATTCCCATCAGCCTTAGCTGCTGCATGTTAAGTCAGAGGATCACTAAAGTTATTACAGTTCATCAACATGAGTGTCTGAACCAAAGTACATGACAATCTGTCCTGTAGTTGTTTAGGTATTTCACTCAAAGCCACAAGTGTGAACCTCATGGTGGCACTAGAGGAAAAGTCATGAGTAGGCCTGTCATGATAAATAATATTGACTTATTGTATGATATGACGTTCTTTCCAGAAGGCCCCAGGAAACAGGCGAACAGGAACCAGGTGGGCAGAAGCAGAGCTTGTGGTCGAAGATGGGAGGCAGCGTGAATTACCAAGGATCAGACGAAGCAGATGAGCCAGAGACAGCAGGGTTGATACCGAGGAAGCAGTCGGGATGAGGCAAAGAACAATCTAGCAAGAAGTGTCTGTGAAGCGGGCGTCTTTATAGTGACAGGAGGTAATGATCCATAGGTAAGCTGCGTGGGCATGGAGGACTGGCAGGAGTGGGAATGAGTGGACAGGTGATATGCTGGCAGGTAGGCGTGGTGACGAGGCAGGGTGAATGGTAAATTACTAAATGGGCTGAGGAGAAGGCATGTACGGAGGACGAAAGGTGCCCAGTGTTACACTGGGACAATATATTGTCCAACAGAACTATTTATCGCGACGAGCTTAGTCAGGAGATCACCAAAGTCAGTAGAATTCATCCTCTCAGTACCATGAATGTCTGTGTACAGAAGTAGAGGTCTTATTACATGAGATGCACCAGAACTAACTTCAAACAAATTGGATGACACCATAACATCTCAGTTCATACTCCTCTGTGATTAACTTATAAAAGTATGATCATCGTCAGTAATTCCTCTGCCACATAGCTTAGCTTGCTCCCTTCTTTTGCTCAGGACACTGAGTATCAGTCATCATAACCTCGTTGGCACAAAATGGCTCTGCAGAAAGCTTCTTTCTGTGTGGGTCTATTCATAGCATCAGTGCTGACAGCAGCCTGTCAGAGAGAGCGAAGAGAGCCCCAAACACTCATAAAATGGAGCCCACAGCAAACACGTCAGACCCAGAGATGCTGATCTGCAGCTAATTATAGTAGCAATAATTACCATCCTTATTAACATTCAGAACTGACGAGTTGACAAGAACGCTTTGACACAGAGGATGCGCATTTGTTATTGACTGTTAAGGGGATAAAAACAGGGTTTTTTTCAGGGTGCATTTTCACATGAATCAGAATTTTACCACTGTGAAATTACAGAGAATCAAGCCTACATTTTTCTGAAGGCAGACATGGTTAACTGGGTTAAATCATAAAACTTCTCAAACCACACTACCAGACTGGGATCAGGGGCCTCAGGGTGGCCTGGCACTAGAAAGTCACTGTCCCATAAGAAAATGCCCACAAATGTGAGTCGATGATGCTGTTGTGTGTTCTGCTGCAACCGTGTCTCCTAAAACTTTATATACTTCTACAACTACAACTAATTTGTAGTTTGAAAAGAAACATAATGCAGTTTAATAACATCACGAGGAGACATTTTGAATGGAGGTATTAGCAAAGTCAGAAAATGCCAACACATATGTTTTGGTTTCCTAAAATAGCAACAACAGTGTGATTTTACCAGTCAGTAAGTTCACTTTCACTTAAAGGATCATACCATCGTCTCTTCAAGGTTTAGCTCCTCGCACAGTTACAGGAAAGATTTAAAATTAAATCCTTTGCATTTGTTCAGACCACTAAAAAGTGGGCAGACTTTGAGTTTAGTTTAGTTAGATACAGAGCTACAGTGGAGTCCACTGCTGAGTGATCTGTTAGCTCCACACACACTTCCCCTACCTGGAGCACATTTAATCTGAAAACAGTGTGCACCGTTTTGCTACAGTTTCCAGGTTGAACATGTGTCCCTGAAATGGTGCACATGGCTTTGAGGTTCATTTCTCTGACTTGATTTCCTCATCCCAATGAGTGACACACAGCCACACGCCAACACTGTCCAAAGCCAACCACAAAATGCACCACCAACATGTGCAAAATAGACGTAAGAGCATTAATTTAGCCCATATTTAGCAGAGCTGACAGAGACGCGACTGGAAATGTCCGCACCTATGTCATTACAGAACATTGTGGAACATTTAGCAGCTAAAGAGCCAGATATTTCCCTTCAGAGTTGGTGGAGACCAAAAACTGAGTGAAAAGGAGAGTGAACATTAGACTTACATTCATCAGATGGACACAAGCACTACTACAAATAAGTGATTGTGTTATGCTGGCTGTGGAAATAAGCAAATGTTTGCTAACAAGTTTAACTAATCAAATGAGAAGATAGTATGTCAGTGTTGTGTTTAAAGTGTGTTTCTGTTGGCAAGTGGCAAAAAAGTGGTAAAAAAAAAATCCTCCTTGAGCTGATTCACTGCAGAGAAACATCAAGTCTGCATTAGTTTTTGTCCAAGTTATATAGAGTTTGAAAAGTCTGCAAAGAGCAGAGCCTTTACTGTATAGGGTTTAAAAGAGGAAAGACAAACTTTTAGACAGATAACCAGATTTTTCCTGAATAAAAGTTCAGTTTTGCAGCATTGCTAGAGTAAAATACTGATGGTACCTTTTTCAGCAGGTTTCTGACAAACCTTTTCTTGTGTAGTTTTATTTGCCTGTGACAGTTTGTTATGCAAACAGAGCCTTTAATCGTCCGGCATGATCTCTGCTGGGAATGACATCACGCTTGATCCATTCATTCATGATATCACCTGCAGTGAATCTGCACGCTGACTACAGCCAACAGGAATGTGTTATCAGACAGAGCTGAGAGCTGAGAGCAGGGCTGGACCACATTTAAGCCAGGAGGGGCTGTATGTCAACAACTAGAAATTAAAAGTACAGACTCCAAATCAGCCATAAAGTGAAATCAACATGTCTCTTAACTAAACAATCCTCAAAAACTGAACTGTATAACCTTCATAAGGAAGTATTCTCTTGCAGGGCTGTTGCTACATTAAAGTCTAGACTTCTCTGGGCCTGCAAACCACCAAATCAGTGCTCACTGGGAACACAATGAGCAGGTTCTTCAGAGAAGAAGATTTGACGGACGTTGTTACGAGCCGTACAGAGATATGAGATCCAGTGAAGGTAAATGAGGTGCAGTGAAGCATTATTCCACATTCAGGTGTTTGAAGTTTTATAGGTACAAGGTACGCAGTCACAAAGGAGGCAATGGGCAGCAACAGAAAAAAGAAAGGTCATGTTTAGTCACCCTTATTCCCCCTTATTCACGCTGGGTCATTTCATTCTAATGAAAGAGCCACAATAGACATAATGATAACTTGCTAACTTACCATTAGCATTAGATGAGTCGACTACCCATACAGCTTACGATATGTGGCAAATTCAATCAATTGTGGTCAAAACAATCATACTAAAAATAGCCTTATGGGCATGTTGGTCATGGAGGTCGAATAGGATTAGCTGGAACAGCGTCATGTGGCTCAGTTTGTGCCAGTTTGTTTGTTTCCCATCTATAAATAGCCACATCTATATATGGAAACTAAATTTCTTTCAGTGCACGCACAGAACAGACAGGAGATATTTGCTGAATTTAACAAGAAGTGTATTGGATTAGACTCGCAGACTGCACCTTTAAGAGGCAGCTCAGGTTGCCTTGAGTTGGGTGACAGACAGCAATGCACACTCCTCTACACAAATGCACCTATTGTCACTAGGAATGTCTCATATTACCACTAACAAAGCTACAGACTAAACTAAAAGAATAATATAAAGACTAAAATGAAAGATGCTGTAAGGAGGATTTGAATTCTCCTGCAGCACAGAAGCTGAAGGGTTTAAGTCGTTTGAGGCTGTGCATTGTGCCGTGTGTACTTGATGACTTGATAAAGCACGACTCATCAACTTTCCTATCATAACCATCATCCGAAACCGTGACGGTATGGGTCTTATCTGATGCCTTCTACCACACAAGTAAACAAACATCTGCAGAACATCCATGTTTTTCAAGGGCATTGAGTTTTTCCATCATTCAGTTTTTGCTATCAAGATATTCCAAGAATCTGAGGCTCTTTCTCATTAGTAAAAGATTGTACTGCTGTATGTTTTTCAGAACGGCACAAATATTATGACAGCTCCGTGTGTGATCTCAGCAGCTACGTCCTAACTTGCTTCCACCAGGCAGATGGGTTTGATGTACTGAAAATTTCTCAGATTGACATCTGGATTTCACCCCTGCTGTAGATTCATCACACTGTTATCAAGTTGTTTTTTTTACATCCGTTTGCCACGTTTCACTGGTTCTATGCTGTGATTTATCTTCTTCCTCTGTGCCATAGAGCTTCAGTGTTGTCCAAAAACTATTAAAAACATACAAGTTAGCCACACTGTTGCACTGTGTGCCATATTCCTTCTAGGGATGTCAGTTTCGGTTAATTTTGCTTTCAAAAGGCTGACATGGCCGTGGTTAGCACTGTAGCCTCACAGCAAGAGGGTTCCTGGTTAGAACCAAGGGTGGGGGAGCCCCTCTGTGTGAAGTCTGCATGTTCTCCTTGTGTCAGCGTGGGTTTTCTCCTGGTTCTCCGGTTTCCTCCCACAGTCCAAAGACATGCAGGTCAATGGGTGACTCTAAATTGTCCGTAGGTGTGAATGTGAGTGTGAATGGTTGTCTGTCTCTATGTGTCAGCCCTGTGATAGTCTGGCGACCTGTCCAGGGTGTATCCGCCTCTCACTCCCCCACCCCCCGCGACCCTAAAAGCGGTTATGGAAAATGAATGAATGAGTGAAAGACCGACACCTATTAACCGGTAAGTAACTGTTTAATTTTTAAGAAAAAAATAAAGACGTGAAATACAAGAAGCCTTTTCTTTTAGTCAGGCACTCCTTTGATTCCGTTAGCCTGGGGCTTCAAAGCGCTATCAATTTAGAGGTAGCAATATTTTAATGTTTTGTGATGTAAATGTCTTGCCTTTTATTTATTTATTTTGGCTTTGCTGACAGACAGCTGGCTGTGCCTACCCTCTGGTCTCCACTGGTTTCTTGGCCCCTCTACATTGCACACCACGTGGGTCAGGAGGAGACTAATGTTAGCTAGCTAGCGGCACCACTCATTTGACAATTACAGCTGGTAGTGCTATCCTGGTGGCAGAGCACTTGACTGCGGAAACATTGCGCCCACCCTACAGTCTCCCTCCAGGTTGTCCTGGTGAGTAAGTGGCTTCATGTTGAACCACAAAACCCTTTTTGCATTGTTTTCTTTGTTAGCATCATTAACCGCGATGACACTGCTAATGGTAGTAACATAGTCAACAATGCCAAAGGGGTTTTATGGCTCAAAACTAGGCTGCTTACTCACAGGGGACAGAGGGTGGGCACAATGTTTCCACAGCAAAAACTGCTAGCAATAATGGCCAAATGAGTGGCACTGTTAGCTAGCTAGCTCCTATCATACCTGGATGGTGCCAAGTGTAGTAACCTGAAGAGTAGCAAAATTAACTGATGGGTGTAACCAGTCACATATAACTGATTAATGGTTAATCGTTACCATTCCTAGTATGTTCATTATCATGTACACACGCACACACACACACACTGGAGTTTATATTGATTTAGTCCCAGATACACCATCCTGCTGCCACAAATACTCACTAGAGCACCAAATGTGGATTAATCCACTGCTTAAAATAGTCCCCAACAAATGCACTATTTCCTCCTGTGTGTTTTTGATTAAAAAAAAAAAAAAAAAAATACAGTGACCAGCGGTTTTAAGAAATCAATGAGCCATTTTTAACAGTGAAACAATATATTTGTTGTTTTTAAAGAAAAACATCTTTACGAGGAAGAAGCTGAGAGCTGAGAGCCACAGACAGGAAGTCTGAAAGTATTTAAAGATGGACTAAAACATTTTTGGTTTGGGTCTTTTTTTATGGGATTTTTTGACAGTGAGAAAAAAATAAAATAATGCCTGCAATTATCTTTAACATTTGAGAATGTTAGCTCCTTTTGTCAAATAGAAAAAAAACATGTTACCAGATACAAGTTTCCTGATATCATACTTTAAGAAATAAAAAATGTTAATGTTCGCATCATTTTAATACATTTTCAGATGACATCCAGTCCTAATCCTGAATATGATCAAACCCAGAAAAAGACTCATAAGTGGGATCCCAGTTTGCATGTAAACTCAGTGGTAAAACCTTCTAACAACAGTGGTTGCCAACTGGTGGGTCGCAGTCCAAAAGCAGGTCGTGGGCACCCTTGTGAACGGATCGCAAGTGACTTGCAAACATGTCAACACACTTTGTTTTAAAGTTCAGTTCATTTCCAGCACAGAGCATTTATTTTGAAGTGCCATTTTCTGCTGTAGAGTGAGCGACTAAGTGACAGCTACTTGACAGGCAACATGGCTAAATGCAAGTATGATCCTAAATGTATTAAACCGTGGGACCTTGAACTAATGACTAAGGAGAAATCTAGACCTAGTGGCTGGAACAGTTGGGAACCACTGTACTAACACACACACACACACATACACGCTCCCCCTCACCTCTCCCTCTCCTGCTCCAGCAGGTTGGTGAAGTCGTCACTCTTGTTCATAAAGTCGGTGTGTTTGCGTTTCTCGTTGTCCAGCTCCATGACGGTGCGGCGGTGACATTTCTCTGCCAGCAGCAGCTGCTCCAACATCCGTCTGTACGTCTCCTTCTGTTTGTCCTCCAGACGGTCCAACTGATGGGAAACACGTCAACACTCATTATTAACAACAACTTACACCCTGACAACACATCTGCCGACACACTATCCCAAAACCATTAGCTACGGCTATGGTGATGTGGTGTTTGTGGGCTAACAATGAGCAGAGAGTCTTTATTCAAATGCTCTCGCTGCGCATTTGTTCGGCCTTTTTACTACACCCTGCAGATTTCACTGAGCATGGAAAATTACATTTTCAAGTAGAAACCACTGTCATTCAACACACAAAAGAGCATGATTTCACATGCAGGAACCCTGGTACAAATGCACCACCAAAATAAAAGGATATTGGTACTCCATCTATTATCTGTGACAGCTACCTGCTCTCCAAACTCTCTGAAACCACTCTGATTACAGTATATTTAATCACTCAACTGTAAAAAGAAAATCCTCATTTTGGTAGATGTAGAATTTAGCTCCTTCCTGTTTTTTCTGTTGGTAAGGAGTTCCCAATGGAGGACACTGAGGTCATGCTTCAGTTTGTGGTCTTTTTTGGGAATTTAACAAGCTTGGGGCAGTTTACAATGTACAGTTAAAACTTTTAGATTGATTCTAGTACTTTTCCACCAGCACTCAGAACCTCTCCAACTGAAGTTCATTGTGGGCGAGTGGGGAGCGCTTTGAAATAGTATGTAGTCATGGTGATGAAAAAAGGGATATAAATACTTAATTTTACAGGTCTGTAACTTCCTAATAATTCCCTTGAAAGTTTCCTGGAAAGAATCTGGCATCCTTCAATTAAAAGTACTAATACCACACTGGGAAAGTACTTTACAACAAATAAAAGTCCTGCATTCAAAACCTTACTTAAGTAAAACTACGGAAGTATAATCAGCAAAATGTACTTATACTACTTACTTATGTACTTACTGTCATACAGTAAGTATGAAAAGTAAAAGTAATCATTGTGCAGTAACATGTTCCCTGTCAGTGTTTTACTATTATATCTGATGTTCCTGGATTAATATTACTGCTGCATTAAAGTGTATGCTGCATTTTACTATTGTAGATTTTTAAGGCTGTGCTCATTTTAAACTCCTTTATATAGTGTTAGGTAGTTTAACCTACAGCAGTGCATCACATTCTACAAGATCATCATATGTTTGTCCGTCCCTGTCCTGTGAGAACAGTGAATCTATAAACCCACAGCCCAACACATAAAGGAACACTTCATCCTTCAGTTTATTGCAACCATTCAAAATCAACACAGCTGGAGATACATACATTTCCTCAGACGGGAGGGGGATAAAAACCATTATCTGAAAAGTAACTAAAGCTGTCATACAGATGTAATGGAGTAAAGAGTACAATATTTTCCTGTGAGATTTAGTGGAGTAGACACATTAAGATGCATAAAATGGAAATACTCAAGTAAAGGAATACCTCGACTTGTACTTAACTACAGTACTGAAGTAAATATATTTTGTTACTTTCCACCACTGAAGTGTTGAAGAGTGACAAACTTTTCAGACTGTAAATTTTATGTGAATATTCTTTTAATTCTCCATTTAAATACAGAAAGAAGAGAAGATATAAGCTACTGTATATGACCACGTACTGTCACCATGAAAAGTCCAAGCAGACTGATTTTGAGACTTCACAAGCAGGAGTAAATCCACTGTTTCATGACTCCTGACTGAGTCTTTCAGTCAGTCTAATCCCAACTAAATCCTTTCAATATATTCTTCTCTCACCTCGGCCATTGGTTTCTCATACACGTCCTCAGTGCTGTTGTTGCTGAGGGTGAGCAGTCCGTCTCTCTGCAGGGCCTGCAGGGGTTTGGTGGGGACAGCTGAGGTGTAGTGAGCCTCCAGACTCTCTGGTCTGGTTCTGTCTGATTTCAGCAGGCCGATGATGTCCTCTCTGGCCTGAAGAGACACAAAAGAGATTTTAATGTTTTTTTCTTTAATGCTAGTTTTGTGTGAGTTTAATGGTTATTTTGTGTATTTGTTCAGCGTTGGACCTTTGAACACTGCAGTGGTGCTTAGTATTATGTTTTTATTACATTATAAGTAATTTATTATTTATTGATTACCAGAATTGAGTCTGAGCCTTTCCACTTAAAAAACAAAACAAAGCAAAGATTTTTTGAGGGTTGTTTCCCTGTTGTTACAGGGTCATAAGCACTTCAAAACTGATAATGAGGCTGTATAACAATAATAATGATAAGAAGAAGAATAGGCAGAAGAAGAAGAAAGTGCTTTGCGAATAAAAGCTCCTTTGCATGCGTCACACATCCCAAGAAATTAAAAATCTACAACATTAATAGTAACAAATGGTAAAACATAATCAATAAAAATAAACATTCAACAGGGCCAGCTCAAAAATAAGATGTGTAAAAACAAAATGTAGGAAAGAAAGAAAGAAAGAAAGAAGAAGAAAGGTGGCTTCAATCCACAAAAAAACAACAGTATTTTATAATCCAAATAAACGATGCACATGACCCTCATACGGAAACACTATGAATTCCCAGAGATGAACAGCCCAGTGTTGAATAGCTTTTAAAAAGATCCACTGTTTCTGTTTCAGCCTTTATGTAGGCGTTTTATTTCTAGAATATTTGCACAGAAATGCTCAGACATCAGCTGAGTAATAATCCCAGCTAACATTATCTGAATGTGATGCTGCGCTCACGTGGATCCAGGATATTACCTCATCGACTACTTTCACACTGACATCACAGATAAATCACAGACAAAGGGAAAGGCATGTTTCCACCAGCAGAGGGAGCTGTTTTCTTCACTCCACTCTGCCTGGTGTCTCTTGTCATACACCAAGACACCAAGAACTTTATCTGTATATATAAAGACTGAATGCAAAAAGGTAAATCAACCAAAAAAGCATTACACCGGTTTTCAGCACCTCCACAGAATTACTCAAAACTAGATAAGGGACTTTAAAATGCCTGAGGCATTGATCTGCTGATGCTACAGTCGATGGTCGAACAAAGATGTAATGGCCTCATCAGTTAATCTAACATATCAGGTGTGGTCACTAATATGGGGGTACACATTGACAATAAACTGGACTGGGCTAAGAACACTAACGCTCTCTACAGGAAGGGCCAGAGCCGTCTCTATTTTCTGAGGCGACTGAGGTCCTTCAACATCTGCTGGACTATGCTTAGGATTTTCTATGAGTCTGTGGTGGCCAGTGCTATCCTCTATGCTGCTGTGTGCTGAGGCAGCAAGCTGAGGGTGGCGAACGCCAACAGACTCAATAAACTGATCCGCAAGGCCAGTGACGTTGTGGGAACGGAGTGTGACTCTCTGATGGTGTTGTCAGAGAGGAGGATGCTGTCTAAGCTACGAACTATCTATAACTATATGTAAAAATCAAAACACACAAACATGTAGTTTCATGTTTAAGAAGTCTCAGTAATTTTCTTAAACAGCTGATCACTGTATTTTTTTTTAAACAAACAGGAGGAAATAGTGCGTTTTTTGGGGGGGGCTATTTTTAGCAGTGGATTAATCTACATTTGGTGCTCTAGTGAGTATTTGGGGCAGCAGCATGGTCTATGTTGGACTGAGTCAAAATAAATGACTGTGTGTTCATGGTAATGAAGGAACATGTCAGTGCAAAAGTGATGTGTGCTCATTGATGTGTTTTTAATAGTATTTGGACAACAGCAGAGCTCTGTGGCACAGAGGAAGTTGCTACATCAGGCTTTGATACACACACAATACCTGTTAGTGGACACATTCAGTGTTGGTTTCAGACTTTTCGTGGGATTTGTAGATAAAAATAAAACTATAGAATATCACCAGACTCAACATCAGCTGCAGCAAATGTTTCTTTTTTGTTAGTAGATTTTATGTATTGTCCTGAAGCACACTTTTTACCATTTAGACATTATAGAGGTGATGATGACAATGATCTTATTGTGACATTCCTAAATACAGAGTCTGTTTTTACCATTTTCCCATCATGTGAAACAAAGCCGAACAAAAGCAGCACTTCCTGTGTGAAATGTCGCTCTGTGATGTGTATTTCTCTGTCCCATCGCTAATGGAAAATATTTAACACACCCAAACAGATGATGTAGGCTGGAAACAGAGGGTGAGGCAGCAGCATCCTGCCTCTCTGGAGAGGACTTTATAAATGTGCCTCCATTAGAAAGTCATTATCAGACTGGAACCCAGCGGCCGCCAGTGGGCTGTTTCCACACCAGCAAAGGTTATTTTCAAAATCTAAGCCATTGCACACTGAGACACGTCAATATGTCTCAGCATTCATGACTAACTCTGCTGTATTTATGGTTTTATAAGCTGCAGGTGCTGCAGCTCCATGAAAAAAACTATACAGTGGATGTTTCTGAAAAAGATGATAAATGACTACAGTAAATCAACTGTTTTCAGTCTTCCCTCGTCTTCAGTTGGCATGGTAACCAAGCTGAAGTCTGAGGAAGAGCATGGTGCTTGAGACGTTACACAGCATTAAAATCCCCCTAATGGGAGCTACTTGGTGTGCGGATCTATTGTTTCAGCCACGGTAAGCTGTCCAATGAGCAGTCGTCTCAATCGATAACTACGCTCAAAGACTCCCTGGCTCTCACTGTGACGGAAGCAGGCTGGTGACCTGAGCAGGCTGGTCATTAAAAAGGCAGAAAGCTGATTAAGTCTAGTGACTCAACATTTACTTCACCAGCTGCTGAAATTTCTGGGATGTAGAAAATCACTCCTCAGTGTGTACACCTACTTTTAATTCTTCAGTGGAGAAAGCCCAGATCTACCTAGACATATTTTAAAGTCTTCCTACACTTAAGGATGTGTTTTTCTTCTTCTTATGTCCCCTAAAATGTCCATCCTTGACTATACTGACTTGTATTTGTACAAAGTAGAGAGGTGTTTACAGATTCCTCCACTGCACTTTCCTAAAATCTGAGATTCAAACATAGCTGCAAGATGGATTAGGTACGTTACTAATACAGAAGCCAATCGCTGTCTAATGCAGGAAATGCTCTTCAATACAGAGAGCAGAGTTAGCATTAGCATGGTGAAAGTTTTGACAAAAAACATGGTAGAGAGCTAGCATGCTTGGTAATGGTAGCTTGTTTGCTCATAAATACTGTACATTATGATGTTATTGGTATATTTTCTTGCGTTCTATGCCCGTCTCCAGACTCACCAGCAGCCAATCAGCATCTCTCATGTGGGGCAGTTTGTATTTTTCATGGTCAGTATCATACATCTTTGCTATTTGTTGAGGCTACAACTTTGCCGGTCAATGTTCACCAAAGTTACAATGTGGAGATGAGATTTTGCTTTGACGGAAGGGAATGTTTTATTCGACCCTCTGCTCACCTTGAATGAGGTTAATGGTAGGCAAAGGTTTGCTAGTGTTAATTTCGCTCATGTGTGACCAATACCTTACACAATGAAGAAGAAAGCACAACATTCTTACTCTGACCTTGCCAGATATTGCTGCTTAGTCGTGGACTTTCCACACTGATATATGATGTGCAAGGTAGCCTGGGTTGATGTTCTGGGACGCTGTGTCAATTTCTGCATTGTGTCTTTTCAAAATACACTTCTGTTTTCACAGGAAATGTACAGTTTGCATACAGTCTCTTTCAAATTAAATGTACGACAGCGGTAGAACACTGACAGCAATTCAACACTACCCTTCAACAACAAAAGAGTTTGGCTTTATAGCCTACGGGACCATTCATACGGGAAGCAAACCCCGACCTCCCAGGTGAAAGTTGGCGATGCACCACCCCTGCCACCCACCCTACTAGGACTCTGCCTCGCCTTAACTTATGTTGTTGTCTGGCTGTGTTTCCCCTGACGCCATCAGTACACCTGTACACACTGACAGCATCTGGCTGTGTATCATCCAAACATGAAAGGACAGCTTTTTCGTCAGTGTCTGACGCCGGAATTCCTTGCTCAAGCACCAGTATTCAGCGATTTCAGAATGAGACCAGGTTAGAAAAAGAGTAGCTCTGCGCTCGCCCCATTTGAACGCTTTCTTTAATTTTATGTGGGAAAACCACGTTAAACATAGTAAGTATACATTCTTTAAAATGCTTCCGTAAGAGGACTTTAAACTTCCATCATTTGAGCTACAGTAATGTTAACCACCACAAAAACAAGTTGTAGACCAGTTACAGCAGAGCTGGCTTTATATTAGATCCACAATGATTAGGTCTGTGTTTAGATACAGAATTTCAGAAGCTTGTGGACCCAAACCTGAATCTCCTTTATTTTCCACCACTGCCTTCATAAGATAACATTATTATCCCACTGCAGTTGTGTTTGTGTAAAAACACTATCTTTTAGGGTCTCCACCAACTCCTGAGAAAAATATGTCTCTGTAGCTGCTATAAATTATCCCCTGTGTTCAATAGCTAGTTTCTAACAGTGTCATTCTGCTGTTTGATGTTGTGCTGGTACTGTACAGTGAGTTTATCAGAGCTTTTTTGTGAAGTAAATCTGATTCGTACCTGAACTTCTCCTTCCATGATTCCCAGCAGGTGCAGCAGGTCCGTCTTTGACAGATCCAACGCTGCTGCCTTCCTGCTCTCTGCAGGTTTCTGGGGTTTCTTAGCTGACCCTGCTGTTCTCCCATCCTTCTCCTCCCGCTGGACCTTCATCTTCCTCTTTGTGAGCTCGGGTGTGTTCTCCTCTTCTTGCTTGATGAAACCTTTAGTGGGCTGGATGCGTCCGTCATCTGGACCATCCATGGTGCAGTTCCTGGATCGCATTTTCTACCTGTGAGTGCAAACGCAATGGGTGTCAGTACATGAAACGCCAGTCTTGGAAAAGAGGATGTTTTAAGGGCAGCTGTAATCTGTATGTATACCATCATTTTAGATTATTTTCCTCTGTTTCAAGCAGCCACTCGTTGTAATTAATTTCAGGAAACTCACTAGTGATGTGTTCATAAACAAATTCCTTATTATCCTAACCCAGTGTGTCCATATTTTCTAGGTGTTTCTCTTCTTCGCTTTATTTTCCAGTAATGTTCTGGCAGTCCAGTCTTTTGAATGTACCACAGAAATTCATTAGCATGTGATGATAGCAGGACTTTGACATGATGGATTACCTATCAAAGTTTCAACTTCTGCAAGATGGTTTCCATTGCAAACTTGAATTATCTTGTACCAGGAGCTGCCTGGAGATTAAAATACTACTAATGATAATAATAATAGTGAGTTTTGGAACATGAGTGGCAGATATTTGAAACAGAGTAGTACTTAGTTGGTAAAACATACAAAAGCACCATCATCAGTCTTCCACCACTGGTTGGTTATAAATTTTAAGATGTAGACGCTTTATGAGCACAAACAAATGATGATGAAATCGACAGCTGGGCAGGATCATGATGGGGGTCCTGACAAAAGAACAAGTTATTGGATCTGAACGAGGCCAAAGTTCCCCGAGGCATCAGGTCTGGATGAAAGCAGGTCGTGACTCAGCCAGAGAGAATCCTGGCAGTGGAGTGGTAGCAACCACGTTACCTCGGCCTGTTATTAATAGTTGTTTCAGGGGAGATGCCAAGATCTCCCATGCGTCAGAACCACAGAGCTGTCTTTATTCTGACGGTCAGCCCCAGTGAACTGGGAGAGTGACTGGAAGAGGCACTGGGAGAGCTGGTGGACAAAATCTAAAGCCAAGAAAAGCCTGAAACAGCAGCTGGAAGGTTTGGGCTTCAGAGGAGGAATCTTTTTAGTGTCTCCAGTCAATAACAAGCTTTGTCATGTGCAGTGGGCTTGCAGCAGCCTTTATGTTATCTAATTTACTGTGCATCCGCTCGGAGAGAACGCTGCAGAATGCTTTTTGCTTTATTAGATTTAGAAAAAATGGAGCGTTTCAGGCCTAAATTGGCTCCTCATAATGTACAGATGAAGAGGTGATTGGTGTGTGAAATGATAAGTTGCTACTTAAAACACTGCTTTCAGGAAGATGGAAAAATGAAGAGAATTTGATATAAAAAACACAAGATATTAATAAGGTTGTTTTTTATCTAGATATAATACAGTGTTGAAATAACTAATGAGTTAAAGCACAAAAGTTACTTTTTTTTTAATTTGCAGGATTCTAACATCCATTTTTTCAGTGCTTATTGCTGAAATAAACCCAGTTTTCCAAAGAACTTAAAAATAAATTGATTTTCTGTTAAGAACATTAATGCCATGTTTACTTAAAAGTTTCAGATGTATCATAGATATGTCATAAAATCAAGTTGTTTTTTTTTACACTAGAACACCTATTGGATAATTTAAATTATATCAGCATTTTATTGAAATAACATTATTAAGACCCTTAAAAGAGGAGCGTCGTTCTGCAACTGAAAAAGTGAGTAAACAGTGAGTATAAGGTCTGTAATTACAGACGGTTTGTTTACAGGTTGTGTAAAAGTTCTCATCCAGGTTGCCAAGTGTTACATCAAAAATTTCTGCAGGTCTCAATGGAACCGAGGCTCCACATGCCAGCACGATGTCGTATCTCGTCCCAGATAAGCAAACTGATCTGTGTAAACAGTTTACCTTCACAAGAGAGGAACCCTGATTCATGGAGTCATTTCACAGAGTTACCTTATCAGCGTTACACCATGATGAAGAAGAGTCGAGCACTGATGATAGATTCCACTCTGAGTGTTTGACCATCACGAAAACAGTCCACTTTGCTAGTGCAAAGACATACATGGAATCTTGGAAATGGATTTTAAATTTGTAACTTTTTGTTATTTTAAACCTCTCCCTAGTTGTCCTCTACGGCCAATAGCTTGGGGCATCTTGTGCCTTTGGTCTCGGGCTGCTTAATGCTACAGCATACAATGATATTTAAGACAACACGTGTTTCAAACTTTGTGTCAACAGTTTGTGTTATCCCTTTCCTGCGTCAACATGACAATACCCCCATGTGCACAAATCCACTTCCATAAATAAAACCCAGTTGGTGCAGCCCTGACCTCAACCCCATCCAACAGCTTTGGGATGAAGTTGAAAACGTACTGTGGGCCAGACCTGATCACCCAACATCAGTAGAGGACCTCCCTAATGTTCTTGTGGAAAATCCATGCAGCCAGGTTTTAGAATAAGATGTTAAACAATCGTATATGAGTGTATTTCCCCTGCGTCTACACACTTTTGTCCGTGTACATGCTGGACCCATGATTATAATGCAATTTACTATCTAAGCTTTTGATATAAGGGCTGTAAATGCGCAATGTCTAACAAGAGTGTAGCATGTATTTTGAGGCTTTTAAAGATTAGTTTATATTATAATGTTGACAACCACTGCGGTGAAAGATGGCTTAAAAACACTTGAAACTCCTATGGAAGAAATGTAAATAAACCGTAAATATAACCCACCAAATAAAATTGTAGATTGCATCTTTAGTCCTCTCTGGGGAGAGATATTTATGGAGACGCGATGAGGCTAAACTGGTCTCTGATTTACTCTTGAGACCGGATAAAACCTCAGACAGCTGTGGCCCGTGGTCGACACACGAGACCTACAGTGGATAAGTAGGCAGAGGAGGTATGTTGGCAGTGGTGGTTAGAAAGCTCGTCCACTCATGAGAAGGTCACAGGTTTGATTCTCGAATCAACAAGTGTCTCCAAAGTAGGACTACAGTATGTGTGTCCAAATGAAATATCTTTGTGCAGCACACGTCTGGATGTTTTCTAATCAGTTTGAGTTTTATAAAAAGCTTTATTAGTCATATTTGTGTACATGCTAGTTTTGGGAATAGAAAGTCAGTTTGTCAGTCCAGCACTTTGTCCTTGGATGTATTTTGTCCAGACATTCATGGTTCCCAGAGGATGAATCCTAATGATTTTTGTGATCGCCTATAGTAACTTCTCATGAAGTTGCACCATCTCACTGTGCCTATAGTGGAAGGACTACTTAGCTTTTTTACTAAAGTAAAAGTTGTACTACCTACAACATAAAAACACTCTGTTACAAGTCATGCATTCAAAATCAGGGGGCACTGCCCTCCCGATACAATTGCTGCCCACACATCACCATGAAAATAATTGGAGGCTGGTAATACTGTCCTTAAGTGGCTTTGGCGCACTCATTGTTTTTAAGCTAGCGGCAAGGAAGTGGTTTCTTTTGTAACTAGACAATCTAAGGCATCCATTGGTATCATGCTGGCAAGGGGGCTAAATAACACTCAAAGGTTAGAGCAACTGGCTTGGCCATTTTCAAAGGGTACCTTCAAAATCTCATCTTAATATATCTGAATAAAAACTAGATCTCTGGGTACCCATGAGTCTCTCTTAAACTTGAGAATGCTCGTTCCCGGTGATAGTTTTGTTCCTGACAATCAATGTACTCCACCGAATTAAAGGTGTATTTTTGTATTTTAAAGGAAAAAGACAACCAGCCTGTTGAAAGAACAATTAACCACATAACATGTATAGATACACACATTAAAACAGGATTGTTGTGGAACTCAAAATGTTAACTGTACCAGTATTAGTCTATGAACATCAGAAAAACTACAACTGCATTTGCAGATTCCTAAAATATAGTTTTGGCTTTTGGTTTTGGTGTGCCACACCAAGATTTTCAGTACCCCATATCTGGCCACCCCTATGAAACATTTCTGGAGGCACCACTGAACGCAACTAGCGTGGCTGTAGACTCTTCATTAGATTCCCACTTGGCTGCTCATAATTACAGTCTGCATGATATGATGCGAGCGCAAGAGAACAGACATGCTAACAGTGTTTTGTTTTGCCAACATTAACATCGTATTATAGCAAACTAACACACACAAAGAGCATGAGAGAGCTGTCAATCATCCATTTTACAGCCCACAACTGAAATGTATCGTTTGTCCTTCGCCTCTATTTGTGAGCTGAACCCTGTGCAGCAGACGCAGCTGTTTCTTTGGTGAAATTTTAAAGGGGGTATTTTTAGGGTCTCCCCGCTTGTGTTGTGCAGAGTCCAACAAGGTGGAACTCCAGCGCTATCACTTTATGATCCATCAGCAATCCCATGGATGCCTGAACCTCCATATTCCTTCACAGCTGCAGCTCTCGTGCTCCTCCATAACACTACTTGTTGTAAACAAACTGTCACTGCCTGTTTATCACACTAGCTTACAACGCCTCAACAGTTAACTAAAGCAGGGTCACGCCCGGTCAATCAAAACCCCGGAGCAATAACTAAACATTCACTGGGTCATGTTTCTTTGTATTTGATCCAGCTCATATAATAATGATATATGAGAGATGTGTCCTCGGGTAAATATAGATCCTGCTAGCAAGTCTGGCCTCTGTGATCTAATTGTTTTCTCTGTTTTGAAACACTACACACCATTCCTTGTTCATTATCTTGATTAATTACAACTATCGCACTACAAACGTTATCAGTGGTGAATTAGCTGTAAAAGAGTTGGGTATACTTCTCATGGCACAACAGTGTATCAAACATATTCTGACCTCTAGTTGCCTACTCACTCTACTGTGGCCATATTTGGTGGTAGGTATGAGTAAAATGTTTATGAGTTCTGATCATTCACGTCAATGCAATGACTGCCAGTTATAATACTGTAGCAATGTAACACTTCCAGTATAATAATATAACACATCCAACCTGTTCTCTCTCCCAACTCGTCAAATACCACGTACAGAGGTACATTTCGTGGTGGTATGATCTGCACCGGATGGTGGCTATTTCTGACACTGCTGGCCACAAACAAATTCGTCAGATACCTCTGCTTTGTCAGTGAATGTTGGTTCCAGACACCT